TCGTTCTTGCGGTCCTCGCTCTCGGAGGTGCGGGAGGCGGGCTTTGGGGTCGGGGTTGCCTCCGTGCTGTGGAGCAACTGTGGCTGGTGAGGGGCAGGTGGGTGGCAGGGGGAATGGGGAGCAGGGCTACGCCACGGGCCAGCCAGACCACGGCCAGGGGTGGCTGCCCTCAGCCAGGCACCAGCACCACCTCCAGCAGAGCTCAGCAGCAGATGCTTAGCAGGGACAAGCCAGCAAGACAAGCATGGATGGCTCAGGTGACAACGGTGTCCAGGTGAGCCTGGGAGCTGCACGTGGGGTGTCTCTGCTCCATGTTCCCCCACGGGGACAGGGCCACCATGGTGTCATGGCTGGATGGACCCCTGAGATGCAGCTTGGCGTAAAGGGAAGCCAGGAGGGCAGCAGGCTGAGGAGGTGGGAGAGAAGCATGCGGGGTGGAGAAGAGGGAAGATGGCTCAAGCGGTGCGTGGACAGTGGGGAGGGGTGAGGGTGGTGAGAGGGGGTGGCTTCCCACCACAGTACTCGCCTGTCTCCAGCATGGCTCAGCCGGTCCCAGTCAGATCCCCAGGCCACAGACCGGGGTCGTCCACTTCGCCGGTCCTCAAAGCAGACCTGAGAGCACAGGGAGCCTGAGAGAGAGCCAGCAGGGATGAGAGTGCAGAGCCTCCCCTCTCCTTCCCATGGCTCAGCCAGGGCCAGCAGTGGCCTCTCTAACTGGTCCTGGTTTTGTGCCACTACCAGCCACCACACGGCCATGCTGTCCCCCCCACCTAGGGCAGGCAGACATCTCAAGGTCCCCCATGCACAGTGCCCCTCACCCTGTTGCTGCAGCTGCAGCCCCATCAAGCTGTTCCCTGCTGCCCGAGACCTGCGTTGGCTTGTCCAGTGTCATCCCGTGGGTGCCATGCACCACCCATGCAGCCCTGGCTGTGCCTGCACCGTGCTCACCATCCTGGTACTCACCATCTCCCGCACCCCATATTGGCTCTCCACCTTGGCCCGCAGGTGCACGAAACACTGCTCCATGCGCTCATGGAAGGGCCGCAGGTCCTCTGTCACCTTCCGCCCGTGGATCCGGATCCCCTCTGCCAGCAGCGGGATCTGTGGGAGAACAGGGATGGGTCCGCCTGGGCTTGCGGGGCTCCTCTGGCGTGGGGACACTGGGTACTTTGTGCCCCAGGGCAGCTGTCCCCTCCGGCCACCAGAGGGATGCTGTGGTCTGTACCTGCCAAGCAATCAGGTCTTTGAGCTTCTCGATGTTCCCCTTGTCCTCAGGGTGCTCCTGCAGGTAGGAGTCCTGGAAAAAAGCCTGCAACAACCCCATCTCAGACCCACCGACGGGCTGGCTCAGCTCCGCACAGGCAGGTGATGGTGTAAAGCAGTTCCAGTGCCTGCGGTTGCCGGCCCCGGGAGTGCCTGCACCGGCCCCGGCACAGCAGCCGCATGTCCTCACCGTCTCGTACTTGGCAAAGCCACCCATGACAGCAGGGTCCACAATGCCATTGAGCAGCATGGAGAGCGGGTTGACGGGCAGGCTGGGGTCGTTCTGGTGCCGGTTGATCTCGCTCATGATTTTCTCATTCGTTTTCATCATGGTCTCGATGGCATTTTCCAGGGGGGAGATGATGGTCTGTGCCCAGGGAGGGAGGGAAGGTCTGACTGCTGGCTTCTCCAGCCACCTGCCCATCCTGGTGTGGGCCAGCAGGGTGGAGTATCCCCAGCCCCACAGGAGAGAGGCCCCAGGGTTGCGCATCTCATCCCACGAAGCCCCTTGGACCCCTGGCACCAGCTGCCCGGAACTGAGCTGAGGGCTCACTGGGGAAGCACTGGACGTGCTGGTTCCCCGGCTCCCAGCACAGGCTGGTGGCAGGGTTAGTCCTGCAGGCAAGAGGCCACAAACCAGGAGACGGATGCGTGGCGGTGGCAGCTCGGCAGCGAGCTTATGGGAAACTTGGGTAAACGTCATCTACGGGGGCAGCTGTGGACGAGCAGCGCACACAGCCCAAGCACTGGGGCAGACGCACGCCTGTGTGGCAGCACCGGTGCACAGCTGTTGGCACAGCTGTGGCACAGCTGTCCTGTAACAACCCAGCTTGGGCACTTCACAGCTCTGCCCTGCTGCTCCCAGTGGGTGAGCCACACAAACCAGTCCCTGTCACCAGGTTGATGCTATCGGCACCAGCTGATGGAGGCTGTTGGTGCCCTGAGTGCCGGGGGGTGTCCATGCCCGGTATCAGCAGAGAAACCCTTCCCTGTGGCCGGAGGACATGGTGTGGGACAGCGTTCCCATGAGGCACAGGCCGGAGATCTGTCCCAGAGCCGGGACAGTGGGGAGCCAAGGCGATGCCAAAGGAGGGTTATCCCCTGGTGCTGGGCAGGGGGGGTAGCTGGGCTCTGTGCTCGCAGAGGGAAGGGGGCCGTGCTCGCACCCCGCTCCGCAGGCAGAGGGTGCTCGTGGGAGCTGGGTCCGCTCTGCCGCAGGCGCTGTCTCGGGCCACGCACCCAAAGGACCACAGGAGCACGGGAGGGAGCTGGGAGTCGTGGGGTCTGGGGACTGGAGTGCTGGGTGGTCTGGACCAGGTTTGCACTGAGAGCAGGGATTGATGTGACACAGGGACCGGGGCAAGGGCTCGGACGGAGCATCGGGTGGGATGTGTTCCCCACACGGTGGCTTCACCCACTGGAGCTTGGGAAGCCTGGAAGGGGCTCGGGGCAGCGTGCCCACCTGGGTCAGGGGTTTGTGGTGCTGCTCAGGGAATGGATGCCCTGGGAGGGCCCTGCTCCCCCCATATCCTCTCCTCACCATGGTGGTGGAGGTCACCACGAACCAGCGCAGGATGCCGGGCAGGGGGTAGGCTGTTACGAAGGTCGTCCGCTCAATCCACATGGTCTGCGGGGAGGGCAGCAGTCACTCCACCGCCCTCCTCCCCATCACCCCTCCCACCTCCCCTTCCCATGGGCATGGGACCACCACTTTCCCCATCCTAGGACTAGGGGACTCCTCTCTCTCCTGCATCCCATTTCTCTGGACACCTGGCTCCTCACAGGTGTCCCCCCCCAGCTCTCCCCATCCCTCCCAGCCAGAGGTCCCAGCAGCCCCCACCAGCACTCACCGCAAATTCATTGTCTGGATCCTTTGGGCCTTTCTTGAAGGGCCGCGAGTAGCTGAATTTCTGGACGTGGTTGGCTTTATAGAAACTGCAGAGGAGGAAAGGGGCAGAGCGTGAGAGTGTTGCATCCCTTCCTCAGTTGTGTCCGCTCCCACACGGAGCAGAGCAGGTGAACCCCCTCCGCACCGGGGCACTCACTTGGTGATCTGCTCTGGGATGCTCCGATCCTTGAACCGGACCTTGGCTTCCTCCGCCGGCTGCACGGTGAAACACTGGATATCTGCGGGAGTGAAGGAGCCACAGGCACACAGCGTGGGGAATGGGGGCTGCGGGGGAGAGGGACGTCAGGGCCCAGAGGGGGACTGCCCCAGGGGGGTGCTGGAGGACCCACACGGGGGGCGATGGTAGAGGGAATGAGCCGCCCTCCCAGCCCCATTCCCACACTTGGAGGATACACTGGCCCGGGGAGCTGGTGATGTCCTGGCCGGGTGGAGATGTGCTCTTCAGCTTCTCAGCGTTGGGGAAGGGGCTCAGCAGCCGCATCTCGAAGTCTTCCCGGCGCTCATACTCCTTGCCCCGGTAAATGAAGACCTTGTTCTGTAGGGGAGGAAGACGGCAGCCTGTCCCAGCGCGCTGTGGAGTGGGTCTGGGGAGCCCTCGGCCCCGTGCTCCAGCTGCAGCAAGCCCTAGTGTGTTAGGGGTGCAGGCACCGACGAGGCTGAGCCCAAGCTGAGAGGGAGACCCCCCCTCTTGAAAAAAATATTTCCCCAAATCAACAACCGCAGGAAAAAAGGTGGGCTGGCTCGGACAGCCAGGGCTCTGGAGTGAAGGTCTATAGCCAGGCATGCAGCGACTGGGGTCTGTGATCAGCGGATACCAAAACCAGCCAGGAGATAGCAAGGAGCCCTTGAAACCCACCATGACCTCTGGGAAAATGATGCCACCCTCACCGCGGCTGTAACAGCTGGGTAGGAAAATAAGGATGAACACTTTGGATGGAAGAAGCCCACCGATCATGTCAGTTTATATCTGAATGGATTAAACACCTGAGGAGTGTAATAGAGAATGGGGATGAAACACTTTGCTCTCGTCTAAAAAGATGAGCCCTGCTCTCGTGGGTGGATGCCAGTGGGGAGAGGGTCGGTGGGGCTCCCACAGTGAGCCTGGAGGTACCTGAATCTGTTCATAAATAGCATCGTTGCACAGACCCATCCCTGCACCACAGGTATGGTACAACACACGTCTGTCCCTGCACCCACAGACACACATGTGTCTGCGCACTGCAATCATGACACAGCGCAGGTACAGCCACGCACCAGGGATGGAGCAGGTCCCACCTCACCACGGGCCACAGGGACAGCCTGGCAGAGATGCAATGTCCCCATGTGCTGAGGACACAGCCCAGGAGGCCCTTTGTCGTGTGTTACAGAGAAGAACAACTTCCCATGCCTCGCTTTTCTTCCCTAAGTCTGTCTCCAGCTGTTTGCAAATAGGGACCATAACCCCCACTGTTGCTAGAGTGAAGCTCCTGGCTTAATTTGGGAGTTGCCAACCCCTTCCAGAGAGCAGGGACAAAGGTGGCAGACACGGAGGTGAGTACTGAGTACACAGTGTGCCACAGTACAAGACGACCACGGCCACAAGGCTTGGCTTGGATGCCAGTCTGGGCAGGAGCAATGTGCCAGCTGCTGACACGGCGCTGGCCACGGGGCAGCCAGGAGCCACTTACCCGGAGGAAGGTGGGGAAGCCTTGCCCGTAGTAGCCCACGGCAAAGTAGTCCGGGTTGGGCCGCAGCACCTTCAGGATCTTCTCGTAGAACTTGGCTTCCCGCTGCTGCAGGGCGAGAGGGACAAGAGTGCGGAGGGGATGGGATGGGTCCCTGCTGCAGGACAGGAGCTCTGTAGACCCCCTGTCCCTCCCTACGGCAGTGTCCCCAGCCTGCTCTGCCAACAGCTGTCCCCCCCCAAGCCTGGCCAGGCACTCACCAGGATGTCACTCAGCATTTCGTAGTCAAAGACTTCGCTCTCGTACTGCTCCGCCAGCTCCTTGCAGATGTGGATGGCCTCCTCCCACATCTGCAGGACATGGGGCCAGGGCAAGGACCCCACGGTGTGGAGTGAGCTGGGGTGGGGGGATACTGGGGGCTTCCAGAGGAGACCAGCCCTATCTGAGGGACACCTGCACCCGTGCTCCTCAGCGAGGGGGGAAGGGTTTGCCCCATGCTGGCTGGTGGTCCGTCTGGGTGCTGGTGGGCAGCAGCAGGACTTCCCAACACATCCCGGACCAACCTCTGCCGGGGGCCCCCCGCTGCCAGTCCCCAGGCAGTGACGGGGCTGGGGTTGAAGCTGGGCTAGGCTGGGCTGGGCTGGGCTGGGACAGGACAGGATGGGACAGGATGGGATGGGATGGGATGGGACGGGACGGGACGGGACGGGACGGGATGGGGGAAAGGACAGCCATGGCAGCCAGGCAGATGCAGGGACAAACCATCCAGCCCAGGCTCACTGCGGGGCAGCTCCAGCCCCACCACAGCCCTGGGAAAGGCAGATGGGCTGTGTTGAGGATGGGGACTTGGAGCAGGAGGCAGTGGTGGCCAGGGAGCTGGGCTTGCCCTGGGACAAGGGTGGCCCGGCTGGCCAGGGTGAGGGGACTGCCGGGGTCATGCGGCCACGCTCACCTTGCCTTGGTCAAAGTAGTCGATGATCTGGTTGTAGAGAGCCTCTTTGAGCTGGCGCTGGGTGTGCAGGCTGGGGCTGTGCAAGCCCTGCATGGGGGCTGTGTTCGCCTCGTCCGACCACTGCAACGGAGGCAGCGGGAGCCCATCACGCTGAGCCCTCGGGCTCCTGCTGGGTGGCCCCCATGACCCCTGCAGCCCCCCACCTCCCATCCCACCCTGA